GATTGCAACTACGTTTTTAAAACAGGAAGAAGGATAGCAGTGGCAAAAAGAAAGGTTGTGCCACGAGAGGGAACAGACACTGAATGTTAGTATCCTAATCTCACAGGCACACAATGAGCAAAAAGTCTTGCCTGAGGTTAGGATTAAATCTAATATCTTTTTTTAAAGAGAGAGGATAAACCCCCCCCTTTTCCATGAGCCTTCATCTGATACGAAATTTATCATCCGAGCCTAGTACTCTTAGTATGTTGTGGCTGAAATACAGCAATTATCCTTGGAACAGTTTAGGGTTTAGCAGATAAACAAAGGTGAACCATCATGTAACTCTGGAGAAGGCTCTCGATGCATCTGTCAGAGGTTAGCAGATAGTAGACTCTGTGACAGCCAACGCTGGGGAGAGTAGACTGCTAAGAGGGCTGTCATCTCCTCCTCCTTTTGACCGACAACCCACCAGACTAACTGGATATACATAAAGATTTTAGCACTGGTCATTTGTCTGTTGAACCTGACAAGCGTTTTCCCACCCTGTTTTAGAATAATGGAGAAAACAGAGCTCTGAGAGGCAGGCATGATTTCAGAGTGTTTCCATTTATTTTCAGTTTAGCAGCTGTGGGCCTACGACTTGTTCTGTATCTTACATAATAGACCTAAGCATTAAAACCTTCCTTTGAAAGGATCTCCTAATAGAAAGTACAGATTTTGGTAAAACTACAAAAGTTGATTTTTCTAAAGGCCCATTTCAATGCCTACTGGAATTCATAGAAACATTTCAGCTGACTTTGGTGGGTACTGATGAGAAAGTAGGCTGTTTCATGGAAAACCCAGAGGAGAACGGTTATGATGCTATATAAAGACTGTGAACAAAAGCCATTACTCTCACTAGCATCAGTAAATGAGGGAAAAGATTTTTTTCTTAGACAGTCTTTCTTAAAGAATATAAAAGTCAGTAAGAAAGGCCCTAAAGCAAAAGAATTTATAAGAATGAGTCAGAGCTTTCAGCAAGACCTGACTCTGGCTGGGGTTTTGATCTTTGTGCACAAATGAATGTTGAATCAGCTAGTGAAATCAAGAGTTATATGCAAAATAACTAACCATAGTGGATGCATTTGGTACATATGATGGCTTAATTCTTAGATCTGCAGAATAAAATGTGACAATTAAACCTCCAAAGAAACTCAATCATCCTTGTTTCAATACTAAGTACTCTGTGGGAGTTAAAACACTAATTAATTTATAGCCTGTGGATTTCAAGGTCTCTTTTTTGTGTGCAATGGTGAAGGGTCATTGATAAAGAGGTTAAACTTCAAATGGAAACCAGGTGACTCAAGGCAGCTGGACTACAATGCTGCTTTTTGCACTATGATCTCTGCACCTCTCAAGATCAGCTTGAATAGGTGGACCTGGGAGAAAAGCAGCAAGTGAAAGCCGGTTTTTCCTTGCTCTGATAGAGAGCAGGAAAGCAGACTTTGCCCCCTTCATTTCAGTTTTTCCATGGCTGCACTGCTTTGGCAAGGAAGGTACACAGAGCTCTGTTGTTATTAATCTCTAACCTGAAAACTTTTATTGATGCTTTTTGCTGATGTGGGCTCTGTCTGCACCAAGCTCCACACCTTTCCAGAGCCACAGTGAAGTCAAGAGTGCTCAGCGAAGCCAAGAAGCTCTATAAAAGTGCAGAAGAGTCCTCTGCAGAGATTTCTGCCACCCTAAGGCCTTAGACACTGCGTAAAATGCAGATTATTTGCCCTACACCAAGCAATTTTGTGTTTGAACATATTTCAGCAATAGGACAAAGACTAGAGAAAAATGCTGCTAATTTTAATTGAAGTGGTAATTGCTAAGAAGAAAAAATAGGACTGCTGCCTTTCTTATATGTGTTACCTACTTAACTGGCATGTCTCCAGAATCAGCTGTTGTAGAAACAAATGTACATTTTTGGAGAAAGCCGTAGGTAATCTAAATCACATACTCTGCTATGCACTCCCACTCCACTCTATCAAATTCCTTTTTGAAGTGATGAACATTCAAGGAACTTGAATACACTGTAGAGGAATAAATGCCACAATTATTTAAAAGAAAAAATGAAGCGCACTGAGCTGCAATTTTCGAACTTGTGAGTTAGATTTCTTTCTGAAGCTGTTGCATTGGTTTCCTCCTTTCTTTTCCATTCCTTTCTCTGCCTGTTGAAGGATGAAATGAGCCCTTGTGAACAGAGCAGTCTATGACTTTAAGTACTGTTTTATGGATTGAAGTGGGTCCTAATTTCTGCTTAGAATTTGTGCCAACCCTCTGCTAAGTAAATTTCACTAGTTTAAAAAAAATACATCTTCATTTCTCTATTTGATGCATATTAAATTTGGGTAATGTTCAGTCCCAACTATCGTTTACTTCAATGAAGGAAAGTTTTGTTTTTTCTTAAAGCTCACAACTTAATCAGTGCTTGTGGCTATATCATCCCTTTCTTTCCTCTTCTGTTCTTCTGCTTCATTTTAGCCCACTTGTGTGAGATATATGATGTTGTGTGTACATTTATCTTATTCTGTTCTTCTTTGACTTGATTTTCTACCAGGCCTTTGGTATAGGCGTGTGATCCAGCCAGGATGGAGTTGCCAAGCATAATATCATGGGCAAAATCTCCTGTCCCCTGCCTTTCTGTTAACTAGTATGATGCTTTTCAGATTCATCTTTAGGTAATTTTTCTAGGGTTTTCCATGAGAGAGTAGCTCTTACGGGCCGTGATGAAAGTCTTAGTTTGTACAAGGATACATGTTGAGAGATGCAGAAAAATTCAAATAGGTAGTGGGCGCTATCTTCTAGCGATAGGCCAGGAACACTCCACAGAAAGGGTGCACAATCCCACACAAATTCTCAAAAAGGGGCAACCGTTTCAGTTTTTTGTCAATTCTCTAATGCAGATGCTACTTCCCAACAGCTCAAGGTCAAAAAGTGGAATGCAGTTGGTAGCCAAAACCCAAATCAAGAAAAACCAAAAGGTCTTTCATAAAGGGAATGGGAAATGCTATGTGTTTCCTTCCCTAAGGATAAATAATTACTTTTGTGACCTCACTTGCAGATCTTTCACATGTGATATAAATAATTTTCAACAGAAGTGGAGAGAAGCTAACTTTCTGGGGAACGTAGATAGGTGGGCCTCTACGAAGATAGGTGGGCCTCTACGACTGACAGGAGGGATGTTTAAGCAATAGGAACAAAAGCTAGCTTTCAAAATCCAAGTTAGGAGCCTTTCATCTGCAGAAGCTGGGGTTTTTCTGAAGCAAGATTTAAAATGTGTTTTTATTAGAATAACTGTAGAGCTCTAATAGCGATGTTGAGCTGATAATCCTGGAAACCAAAGTGCACGGCTTACCTAAAAAGCCTAGCATGGCGCAAGTGGCAAAACTGTGCACCTCTCCACCCTGGCCCCCTCCTGGGAGGGGAAAGCATAGCGAAGTTCCTATTCCCAGTGGGTACTTTGCCTGCCAAGCTGCTAGTACTAGAGAGGATTGACTCACTGCCACTCGAAATATCTAACATACTGATGTCGTCCAGAACCCAAAGCGCATTACCTCTGCATTAATTGAAACGCAGCTTTCAGCAACCCTTATAAACGTGCTCAACTGTAGTGTGAAAGCTTTTGTTTCCAGCAGAGATCTGATAACTAGTGAGATTCAGGAACAGGGACTGACCTTTGATCGTGGGCTTTCAGCTTGGCTTGCTGCCGTGCTGGGAGGAGGAAGGGAAAGTTCTTCCGTTTCAAAGCCAACTTCATGTCAATTTCTTGTGTTAACGTTTAGTTTGTTTAGCTAAAAACATGCAGTTTTTAAGCTTCCTTTGTACTCAATTGCTTGGCTCCTTTTCCTAATGGCACTTGTAGCTCAGAAGCTCTGTCTTAGTTCATATCTACTCTATATGTGATTTTCTTTTAAATGGCTAAGGCAGCTGCTGCATTTCCCAGTTTGCCTAACTCCTAGCTTTCCCCTCATTTCACCTCAGAGCTGCTTTGAGATTTTCCTCAAGGCTGCCAGAGTCAGCTTCACCTCCTCTTTGGAAATGCCTATTCCATCGTTGAGGGACAAACCCCCTTTTCGGATCCAGCCCCGGTGCTCTGGCTGTGTTTCCTCAAGGGCTGGAAAGGTAGGCTCATGCAGGCTTGAAGCTGCTGTGCTCTTTTGCAGGATCGAAAGACTTCTGAGGGAACTGTGGCTGTTGCACTTAACCACTTACCTCCCTGGCTGCTTTTTCTGATATTGTTTTTCATGGCAGGAGGGTCAGCTGGCATCTATTCAAATTTGAGGTTTTAGATTGCTGTCTGCTATATGACCTGGCTCCTCCTGTGACTTGGGAGTAACTTACGCAATCTGAGCTCAACTCCGTGCTTTGCACTGAAATGGCTCTGATTTATCCCGGTTTTACAGAACCGCTTTAGCTAGCTGCTGGTAAAGTAGTTCATTATTAGTGGGAACAATAGCAGATAAGTATCTTTGGTTTCCGCCACACCCCAAAACAAAACAGCAATGAAAAACTAACTAACACCCAATTAGGCAAACTTAAAAAAGGAAATGCAGAAGGGGAAGCAAAGAGGTCACAGTATTTATAGGAAATAGATGTAAATTAAACACACAAACTCATCCGAGGACACAAGCTAAATCTACTATGGCAGCTGCGCACTTTGAACTGCATTTTTTCATGGTGCAGTGCACCATTACACAGTAGGTTAAATAACCACAATATAAGGTCAATGGCCCGTTCAAGCGTGTGCTAATTTCACACTATGCCATTGTTAATAGGCAAGATTTAATGGAAATGACTCATGTTGGTATCTAGTCCACTAAACAAATGTTAGATCATTTTGATCTGCCTTGTTAGAGGATCTATTCGTTGTTTCGGGCAATTTTCTTTTTAGAAAATTAGTCTCATCTTCAAATACTGACAGAGATATGTGCTGTTCTCTCTGTTGTTCTTGCCCTCTGCTTTTAACTTCATGTTTTCTGGTGTTTGACAAGGTCCATGTAAGTAGATGTGAAGAAAAAGGGGAAGGATTGAATCTCTGAGTTGGTTGAACTCGGCCCTGGGACAAGTTTGGAACTGTAAGTATTTTCCATTCTTCCAAATATTTTTGCTATACCTCTTAATGGTATATTTTGAATCTGCTTTGTTGCAACAGGTCACAAGTCACTTCGTGTTTTGCCCTAGCCACTGATTTTTTGGCACCCTGTGTTGGTGACTTCCACCATGTCATCATATATCACTATTTTATGGTTTCATAGAGAGGGTCAAATTTTGATCTGGTATGAATGGATGCAATTCTATTGGCAGTAGCACTGCTCCATGATTTTATAGCAGCATATCTAAGGAAGGATTTGCATTGTACAATCAATGAGCAGAAGCTTGTAAAAGACACCCACCTGGGAATCTCACGGCCTTTGTGGTCCTGTGGATTTGCAGCTTGCCTTGTTTGTGACTATTTGCATTAATGATGTACCTGAATGTTCATTAGGAAACACTGTTGTAAGCACCTTGACTACATGCCTCAAAACTCTGACGCGCCAGGCCTTTGCTTGTTGTTACCTCCGGAGGTTTGACATGCCCAGCAATAGCAGCCAAGCTGTGAAGTCAGGAGGGCCTGATTTTCATGAAAGGGGAATTGAAGGAGGACGATCAAGTTCTGGATTTAGAAGCGTGTAAATGATAGGCCAGTGTGCCTGCCAGCATCTGAATGGCAGATCTGCATATTGTGGTGAATTCATGTTTCAAATTTGGGCTCACGCTAACAACGCTTAGTAGCCCACGAGGTTCCTTTGTGGGCCAAAACCCAGTCATGTGCCGTCCTTGCTTTAGTGGAGTTTCTGAGTGGAAGGAGGTGTCTGGCCTGGCTTTTGCTGGCTTAAGTTGTGGTGAGGCTCTGTACTGAGAACCTCTTCTTTTTCCGTAGGTAAGCACATTTTGAAGGTCTCCAGCAAGACAGCATTCAACAAGCCTCTGCTGGAATGAGCACCAACAGACTGCAAATTGCAAAGTGCATTGTAATTGAATCTGATCTCTGGCTTTTACAGAGTGTGGTAATTGGAAATTGCCTTTCTTTTAAATATATGCCATTCCTAGGATGGTTTCTTTTTGAAACTGTGATCTGATAATTTTTAAAGACATATATGCTAAAAATAATGTGAAGTAAGATGTGGTATACGCTCCCATTGATACTGGTGGAGAATGGCAAAGAGGAGACTTCAGGATGCTTCCTGCTGTGTCATTGGTATTAAACGAAGTCCTACACAGTAATTAACAGCTTAGCAAATATGAACTCAGTCCTTGAATAGCCACAGCCTGAAGCCTAAATATCAGTGCTCTGTTCCAGGTCAAAACAGATGACCTGCGGAAGGACTGGGTGGAAGCAGTCCCAGTTTGCACTTGGCAGCAGGATGCAGGGTGCCGCTGCAACCACCCTTACAGCCAGCCCTGCAGGGGTGCATTCTGGCAAGTCCATGCTGTCCTGGCTATATGCTTTACACTTCCTTAGTCACAGCCTTTGTCTGAGTGCTGTCATGCACAGTGGCTCAGCAGTTCTGTGAATAATGCCAGAGGTCTAGAATCTTTCTTCCGCCATGAAACTGCAGGGATTTCTCTCATTTTCTCTTCCTATGTGTAGCCAGGAGATCTAAAGCTAAGATTTGAACCTAAGGAAACAAAGTAAAGTAGATGAAGTCCAAGCTTGAATGCCGTCTTTTGTAATGTTGCAGACTGGCTAATTGGGGCACGCACTCTTTCTCCTTCTGTGTCCATTTTGTATTCCAATTTCCCTTTTTCTTTCCTTTTTTTTTTCATTTTCTTTTGACGTGCAATGCTGAATGTTTATAATGGCTACCTTCGTTACCTGAGTATTGATTAGAGATGGTGTGGAACACCACAAAAAGGATTTGGGGCCTGGAATCTTTAGTGGAGAGCCTTGGAGCTCTGCGTACTTAGTTTATCAGAAAGAAGATTGAGAGCTGACTTGCTTAGTATAAAGTACCTTCATGGTAAGACTGTACTGGTAACAAAAAATTCTTGAATTAAGTGGAGGGTGGCACAGTGATCAAGAACCTGAAGCTAAAAAGCTCACACTAGAAATCTGATTTATACTTTGAAAGGGTGTTATATCTCTAAAGACGAACCTCCAAGTGACTCTTAATAACTTTATCTTTAAAACAAGACTGAATTACTTTTCAGAAGATACATTTTAGCCAAATATTTCGTTAAATAGATGGGGTTTTGGCTCTATACAGAGTTACAGAGGCTTATGATGTATAGTAGGTTAGAATGGGTGATTGTAATGGTCCTGTCTTGCCTTAAACTTTGAATCTGTAACAGACCAATTTCTCACTTGCATATGGCAGATGAGTTAATATCAGGCAAATTCAAACCTGGGTCTAGGTCTAGACCAGCAGCCATGAATTCTGGAAAACGTAGGATATCACGGTGGTAGGAACTTCTGTGAACACCTTTCTCCACATCTATCTACCCTTGGCAGAGGGGAAAGAAATTTTTCCAGTGCTCTCAGATGATGTTGCAGGTAGAAGTTGATTATCACCTTCTGCTTGTCCTTAGAACAGCTCCCTTTGCTGCTGAGAGGAGGACATACCACCGCTTCTCTTGTTGTGAATAGTGACTAGTAGGAAATATCCTCATGATCAGGTGCTTTGGAGAGCTGTCACGGAAGAAGCTGACCAGCATCTACTGTTCCAAAGGCCAGGTCTCTTTTGCAACTTCCAAGTAGCTGGAAACTGCTATCCACCTGTTCTGTCTGCCAGTCAAGACGATCATGTTCTCAGCTTTCCATTTCTTGAGTAGGGAAGTATATGAGAATTTGGCCTGTGAATGCAATTATTACCTGCAACTGTATGGCACCAAGATGTGGTTACAGCTTGGGTAACACATTTCTTGCTCTCTGTAACTACTTGGACTGGCTGTGGCATTTTGGTCAATGTTTTTCCTTCATGAAGTCCATATACTGATATCTTCTTACCTATAAAATTTTGCACTGAAGTCCCAAATATTCACTGCTTCCCCAAATCCCACCTCTTTAAGGAAACACAGCTCGAGTAGCCATATGGGCTGAGCAGCGGTGTTTGAAAGAGTGGGGATGTTATTACAATGATCACAGAGAATTAGATAGGATTATGTATGCATTGCCCATTGCTTCCATTATAATCAAGTTGGGAGTTCAGTGTCCAGTATTTCTAGCAGTTGGGTGACTTAAGTGTGTCACCTGAAATTAGAAACCACTTTTAAACTGAGGCCTTAATAAACACTGTATAAATAACATTAGTATGAGGGATTAAAGGAAGAGCATTGAAGGAATTTAAGGGCATGGGATTTATGAAGAGAGCATCACGTTCCTTCGAACCTGTGACCAAATTCCACTGTTTACTCTGCAGTATTACTTGCTCTACTGTGCCAAGACAGTTGTCTGTTTTGGAAGAGGTAATAATTTCACATATGTACCATATTTTAAGAGTGATTGATTGGTTTCAAGGGATCAGAGTTTTAGTTACACCTAGGTAATGCTGCTAACCAATAAATATACTTAGCACTAACTTAATTGTGGCTGTTCAGGAATATCTGGGGACACAGTTTTACTTCAGTGTTAAAACTTGTTAGAAGAAGGGTTCCCTGTACTTTTAATTCTTTTTTCTCACAGTTAAATGTCAGTGCTGGGATCCCCCTTTCTACGGTAGAGGTAGAAATGGCATTGTTCCTCCCTTTCTAGGACATTATGTGTTGCCTGCACAACATTTTTGTCTCGGAATTCACACCCAGATTTCACTCAGATGGGAATCTGCTGTATTGCCACAAGGCCGACCAATTTCACAACTCTTTGCATTTCCTCAGAAGGTAATGAAATAAATTATTTAGATTTTTTGTTTTGAAGGTTCACTCAAGCCATATAAAATAGATTCCATTTGAATGTGTGTTTTTCTCAGACAGTAAGTTTTCTGTTAGCATTTGGTCCATAATTTTGTGCTGAATGCACTTGGACAGAACATACTCTTTTAAGTACCTTTTGCATTAAGTTCCTTAGACATACATTTGTTTAACAGATGTTCGATCAACATGTTCTTTGCTGTTCCTGTGGTAGTGTAGCATTGTTATATTTTTAAAGAAATGAATGCTGCAAGCAGTTTTTTTGCTGAGAAGCAGTTAGTAATGACTGCAACACTAGTCAGAGGCTCTGTTGTGAATTCCTCCACAAATCTGTTATGTGATCCCGAGGAAGTCACATTGCCTGTCTATTCCTGCTTCTTCCCCATGTCTTATCTGCTGACAGTACTCTGCTTAACTTGTTTCCTTTGATATATAGTATATGTAGCATTTTAGGCTCCAAGACTGGAAATCCTTCAACTCATTTCACACTGATACTGTTCCACATATAAAAAAGAATTTGGTCTTTACCAGTTGGTATTATATATCCTGAGCCAGACTTTCAAAGGTATTATCTTCTGCATAAGCAAACTGCAGAGGTATAACCTCATGAGGGTGTTTGCTCAACAGTGTCTTTTTGAAAATCCAAGCTCACTGTGTATTGGCATAGTGTTAAATATGTCCTGTCTAAGACTATCAACCACATTCAAGTTGACAATTACAAACTCCCATAACAAAATAAATTGTTGCATCTTACCAAAAAAACTGCAGAACTCCCACATTCATTGCTGATACCATACACTGAAGTATTTCTAAGTGGCCGACTCTGACCAATTCTGTTTAGCAAGTCAACTTAAAAGCACTGGTGATTTATATCTTCCATTTGTTTGCATGGTAGGTGATAATAATGGTTTAATTTTAACTGACTGTACCATATACCTTGTGCTGCAAAGCAATAATTGTTGCAGTTGATAAAACCTTTCTCAAAAAATTCAGCTGCTGTGTGCAACTTTAAAAATCACATGTTGAAAAATCTTTAAAAATGCAGAGTTTGCTTTTACTGAAAATTAATTACAGAAACCATTTATCTACTCAGAGCTCTCCAAAACCAGTCTGTCTTAACACTATATAAAAATTCCGCTCAGTATCCATGCCCTGTATATGTAAGTGGAAATGCAAAAACGCATCTTCACTGTGTAAACTGGCATGAAATGCAGTCACTTTGTGTACAACATGGCTTACATACAGCCTTTGTGCATACAGTAAATACATTTATTTGCATACTTACACGTGGCTGTGTGTCGACCACCACCCAACATAACCCAGCATACATATATTACAGTAGGCCTCTGCAACAGAGGCAACAGCGTGATAGCTCCCTTAGATTTCCCAGTAAATCTGAGGTGGCATAAATTATGTAAGTCTTTAGATAGAAAATATGTGTAGACTACATCTACAAAAGGCATTTTACATAGTTTTCAATGGGGAAAGAGGCACCTAAATAGCTTCATAGCTCTGGAATCAAATATATGGCAATTTTGAGATTTTCAGAGTGCTGTTGTGTAACTTCCTTTTAAAAATGTAGTTGAGTAGTGTCTGTGCCCATCTTTCAGACAAGCCACTATTCTGTTGAGCATTGCCGATCATCCTGACAAGATTCAAATGCACAGCTCCCACTTCACTAGACACTGCTGTACCTGTAACAGGTGATGGACTTTTCTGGCTGTGTTATCTTCCAGTCGATGCTGTGCCACTAAGCAAAGGAAATACAGTGTTCTCAGGGAGGAAGAGAGCAAGAAAAGAGATATGCTTGTATTTCTCCATGATGATAGCATGCAAGCAGGAATACAGACACCCGAGTTTTGGTCCCTGCTCTCCTCTTCATGTGATCCAACACGCTACGCATGATCCAGCACCTAACAGAGGAAAGGAAATCTGTTTTCAAATATCAGATCCCATAGTTAGAAATTAGCATCAAGACCTATTCTGTGCCAAGCATCTCCTCACTTCTAACTCTTCTGCTGACGAAGCTATTTCAGCTACTCCTAGCTGTGGATCTCATATTGCGCAGCTAGGTCCAGAATTCTTTAATGGTGTCTTTAAATAAGAGAAAGCGATCTGCTGGCTTTCCTAGGAAGATTTTGATACATCAAATTTACTGTTA